ATCCATACACTTGTGTGAATCTCCCCACCTGTTCATGCCATGCATTGGGGATTCCTTTCAACGTGATTTTGGAGGGACTCTAATTCAAACCATAGCACTGACCACTTGGGTAAACGTCTGTCATCCCAGCACTCCTGCAGTGAGGTGGGAAGTACACAGGAAACTAACCTGGACAGTGGTGAACAGCTAGCCTGGAGTACATAGAGAAACACTGCCTCAGCAGGTAGAACTGACTTCTCACACGGAAACACACATAAATAGTAATACTTAGTTGTGAGCCTAGCCTTTAACGGCTGAGCCATCTCTCCAGCCCAAATAGTAATATTTAAAAAACAAATGTATATGACTAAAATTTGGCCCATTGTCTTTATGCTATTGAAACAATATGGCCAGGCGGTGGTGGTGCACACCTTTAATCCCAGCACTCGGGAGATAGAGATGGGCGGATCTCTGTGAGTTCGAGGCCAGCCTGGTCTACAGAGCGAGTGCCAGGATAGGCTCCAAAGCTACACAGAAAAAACCCTTTTTTCGAAAAACCAAAAAAAAAAAAAAATACGTTGCATGGTGGCACCCATTTATAATTTACTCAGGCTGAAGCAGGCAGAATATGAGATCCAGAATAGACAGGGCTATATCTTAGAATCTTTATTAAATTTGGGGTATAGAGGTTGCTTTCTAGGCTAAGGAAGGGAAAGGCAAGGCTGGAACTCTTATCTGGAATTCTGCAGTTGTAGGCCTCATTTCTTCCAAAGGCTGCAAACCAGTAGCCTATAAGTATTTTGTTTTTATCCATGGTAGTTACTAGTTGAACAAGATGCCAACATTTAAAAATTGAGACATTTGGGCTAGGAAAATGGCTCAGTGCATGAAAGGTCTATAGTTTAAGCATGAGTTTGACCCCAGTACCCATGGCTAAATGATGAATATACTTGTAATTTCAACACTGAAGAAGCAGGTAAATGTCCAGAGCTCCTACCATAGTCTGTAAGCCCCAGGCCAGCAAAAGGCCATCTCAGAAACAAGGTAGATGATCCCTGAAGTTGACCCCTGGCCCCCATGCGCACACATTTACAGACAGACAGACACACAACACACACACACACATACACACACACACACACACACACACAAATTATTAGAGATTTTATTTTTAAAAAACCTGGATTTTGAGGGGCTCTGTAATTAAGAGCACATACTGCTCTTGCAGAGGACTCCCAACTTGAGTTTCCAGTACCTACATGGGACAGCTCACAACCACTTTAACTCCATGTTGTCCAAGTGGGCTTGGCTAGCCACTGAGCCCCAGAGATCTGCCTAGCTCTTCCTCTGAAGTGGGATTGTAAGAGTCAGGCACCACGCCTGGCGTTTTTATTGGCACTGGAGAGCTAACTGGAGACCTGCTGTCATAGCCAGTGTGTTACGACTGAATCCTCTCACTAGTTAAGTTAGGACTATGAAATGTTTGTTGAGACATGGTCTGAGCTGGGTGGTGGTGGTGCAGTCTTTAATCCCAGCGCTCAGGAGCCAGAAGCAGATGGATTTGCAAGTTTGAAGCCACCCTGGTCAACAGAGCCGATTCCAGGACAGTTGGCTACACAGAGAAACCCCATCTCAACCAAAAGAGAGATTCAAGGTCCCACCATGTAGCCCAAGCTGACCTGGAGCTCATAACCCTCCTGCCTCAGTCTCCCTAGGATTGGATTATAAAACGAACCACCAGTCACAGCCCTTGACTATCTTTTACTTTCTGGTAGTTTCCCAGGTTTCACTCAGGTGTCCCCATCATAAATCAAGAGCATCTGTCGTGATCATGAAATCCTGGACCGTGTCAATAGAAGCCCAGTGAGCAGTTTGCTGCAAGTCTACCTGTACTGATAGTTTAATGCTCCAGCTCATAGTTATGAGGAGCCACAAAGAGCACACCCCTTCCCACAGCCATCAGCTCCTGGCTTTCCTTCCTGGTGTGTGACCCGGTACCAGTGGTCTGCATTGGTGGGCAGCCTGCCAGTAAGCAGAGCTCTGCCCCCTCCAAAGGGCAGCTGTATGGAGTAATGTAGGGAGTCTTCCTGCGAACTCCAATACGAACACAAAAGGGACAAGTCCTCCATTGATTAGAAAACATCAGTCTTGAGTAGAGCCCCTCGGGAGTGGGGAGTGCCCAGCTCCTCTATGGAGAGGAACTGTCTTTTAAGCATCATTAGTGTCTCTGCTAGTGGACATAAAGCCCAGGGTTTCTGCAGCGGTTTTGCCTTCTGTAATTGCATTCACCTCAAAACCCACAAGTAGCCTCAGTTCTCAGCGGTCATTATTTCATTTGAAAAACTAATTGAAAGTTGAGAAAGCCCGGTGTTTTTGTGTTTGTTGCGATAGGGCAGGGAAAGAGATGAGCAGGTGGGGCCAGGGAGGGGGTGTGGGTCTCCCATTCAGCTCAGCTTCTCCTTTGTCCCAGACCTTGGCAGGTTCCCCGCCTCCTGCCGCTCTGCCTGCCTTCTGGTCTAGCCTTCTCCTCTGGAGGAGCTTTTGTTTCCCATTGTTCTCATTGTCTCCTCCACCCGGCACCCAATGGTCTCCAACAGTGCATTTCCCACGCTTTGCATTGCTTGTCTAGGCTGCCGGTGGGGGAGCAGGTGGTCTTTCCTAGCCCTGGTGCTGGGAGATTTGATACCTGGCTGCAGCCTTCCCAGGATTGAGGTCAAGTGCTTCCCTTTCCTACTGGCTGTGAACTAGGCTGGCTGGGAAAACCAAGAGGTAGGAGTCCCGTCTAATTTTAAATGCTGTGGTTACTTTTACACTTTTTATCAATTATTCCAGACATCCCATCATCCAGGCTTCACAGTCATCTTTTTTGTTTGTTTCTGTTTTTGTTTTTCAAGACAGGGTCTCTCTCTATGTAGACTTGGAATTCACTCTGGAGACCAGACTGGCCATGAACTCACAGAGATCTACCTGCCTCTGCCTTCTTAGTGCTGGGATTAAAGGGGTTTGCCACTGTTAGTAATTAAGAATAATGGGTTGGGACAGCAGGTGGCAGGTGGCGGGCCCCCCCCCCCCCGCCCCCCCTCCAGCACTGGGACTGCAAAGATTGCACTCCCGGGGGGGTGGGCAGATAGGGAAACAGAGACCTACAGATGTGACTCAGGGTGAAAGTTTATTGAGGGGGAGAAGAAAATAAGGTAAAGAGACATAGAGACACAGAGATGACAGAAGAGAAGAGGGAGACAGGAAAAGTCCTATCTGCCCAGGGGAACAGCAGGAAAGAGAACATAAGTGGGTAGGGTCTGTCTTTTAAAGGGGTCCTTTGCACCTGAATGCAGTCTACTTAGCCTTGGAACCCTGGGCTGACCAGAGTACCGCCTGAGTGCATTCTGCCAGGTGACAGGGACAGGCCAACCATAATGCCTAAATCCTTACATTAACAGTCTACAGTAGGTTGGCAGTTTTTATAAGATTAAGACTTTAAATTACATTTCTGTCAGGTTTAGCCTTAAAAATACTATTTTGAATTGAAGCTCCTTTAGTGTCAAAACCTTTTAATGACCTTAGGAAGAAATCAAGATAGTCATTCTGTGGAAATTAAACATATATTGTTAGTCAGATTCACTCCAGATAAATATTATTCAACCTTTCCCTGGTCCCAGGACTCACTTCCCTCATCTTGGGACTCCTCTCGGGAACCCCTCCCTCATCTTATGGTCCTCCTCCCCTCAAGTACCAGGACCTAAGAATTTTTTTTTTTCCTAAACCATACCTTGTCCTCTGCTCCGCCAACATCTTTCCAGGTCTAAGAGGCGCCAGGGAGTTCCATACAGCCTGGACTGTGATGAAACCACCAGCTACCCCAGGACATGGCAGCATCCCAGCTTTCACAGGTTTCCCAAAGATGGTCAATGCCCGCCCCCCAGGTCAGCAGAAAGTAGTCTGGAGAACTCGACCCCAATATTTCCTAACCTGCCACACCTAACTCCTCACCTTTTTAATAATTAAAGGTGGAAATGTAAGGATTCAAGCATTATGCTGGTCTGTCCCTGTCACCTGGCAGAATGCACTCAGGCGGTACTCTGGTCAGCCCAGGGTTCCATGGCTAAGTAGTCTGCATGCAGGTGCAAAGGACCCCTTTAAAAGACAGACCCTGCCCACTTATGTTCTCTTTCCTGCTGTTCCCCTGGGGCAGATAGGACTTTTCCTGTCTCCCTCTTCTGTCTTCTCTGTGTCTCTATGTCTTGTCTCTTTACCTTATTTTCTTACCTCCCCCTCAATAAACTTTTACTATGAGTCACGTCTATAGGTCTCTGTTTCCCCATCCATCACTCACCCCAGGACTGAGATCCTTGTGGTCCCAGCCCAGGACCGGGGATCTACCACCTGTGGTCCCAACACATTAAGCTTTATTCCTAACAGCCACCATTTCTGGGCTACAGTTGTCAATTTTTAAGGCTTACTTACACTAAAATGGATTTTTGGGGGACAGTGTTGTATGTATCCCAGATTGACCTGAATTTACTGTGTAGCCAAGGACAGTCATCTATTTTCTGAGACATTGTCTCTCAGTGGGTCTTGGGACTCACAGACCAGACTAAACTGATTGGCCAGTGAGGCTTAGGGAATCATCTTTCTCAACACCCCTACACACACACACACACACACACACACACACACACACACCATGGACAGCTCTGATGGAACTGACAGAGACTACAGGCATGTCCTCCTGTGCCCGACTTTTAGGAACTGAACTCAGGTCCTCATGCTTGCTTGCACAGCAAGAACTTTATCGACTGAGCTAACTCTCTAGCTCCTTATACTTTGCAATGCTACCCTGGGAAAGGTAGCCGTATAAACCATGTTAAAAAAAAAAAATCAGATTGACAAAGGAAATTGAAATGCAGATCAGGATGGGGGTTTTATTGTATTTACAGGAAGGAGAGGGTCAGAAACGAAGTGGAAGTGACTGGGTCCAGTTGTATTTGAGGTATGGGTGGCTCAAGCCTCCACTGAAGGCTTCATCCTTGGGAATCCCTGCTGCAGAAAGAAAGAAAGAAAGAGACACTCAATCTAGACTCTAGAAAGCAAAGGCGGAGCTTCCGGGTTCCCAGAGGTGGGAGGTGGTGGCAGGAAAGATGCTCATGGCTCCAGAAATGTAAATCCCACTCTTAGCCCCTGCCCTGCTAACCCCCTGCCCTGCTAACCCCCTGCCCTGCCACTGAGACCCTGGGCTGATCACTTCCCTTCTGATGAGACTACTTCTGACCCTTAGACAGGACCAGCTTCTTCCCAGGTAAATATGCGCCACACCCTACAAACCTTACTGTTGGTCACAAGTCGAATGAGCAACCTCACAAGAACAGGTGGAGATCCTCACTGTCTCTGTGAGATACAGACTCCATGAGAAGAGGCTACCCCTGATCTGAACATGGCTAATCCCCAGCCCAGGCCTTCACACACAGTATCCACTGGGTGACTGCTACACAGTGAAAAATGACTAAACTAGAATGGCAGCTTAGGCTGGCCTGGAACTTACTAAGTAGCCCAGGCTGGCCTTGAACTTTTATTTTAAAGTTTTATTTACTTAGGTGTATATTATATGTATCTGGGTATTTTTTCTGCATGTATGCTGCACACCACAAGAGAGCATCATGGGACTACAGTTACAGATGGTCATAAGCTGCCATGTGGGTGCTGAGACCTGAACTCAGGACCTCTGGAAGAACAGCCAGTGCTCTTAACAGTTGAGCCATCTCTGTAGTCCTGGCCTTGAACTCTTAATCTTCCTGTCTTAACCTCCCAAATACTGGGTTAACAGGCATGAGCCACCAAGCTCCACTTCTCTCAGACCCCTTGTAATATTTGGAAGGAAACAATGGCCTGTAGACTTCTTCCTTTGGGCTCCAGAGGGAGATTACCTGGTGAAAGGCACTGAATGGAATTCTTAACCTTTGAGCCTTAGGAGGCATCAGAGTTTACCTGTTCCTTTTGTAGAGGAGGAAATTGTGGACAGATAGATCCAGAACCAGGTCTGGGTCCAGGCCTGCATCCTGCCTCCAGTCTGGTTGGTCCCCACCCTCCAAACCCTGCTCATCTGCCTGATGGTAAAGCTGGTAAGTTCCGATGGTCTGATTCGGTTGGAAGGAAGGGAGCGCGTGGACAGCTCTGATGAACTGACTTGTTCATAGATTGGTGCGGGAGCGCCCAACAGAATTGTACCGGAAGCACATGTGCCCAGTTTACAGTCAGGCTGTAGAATACAGCATTTCTTTCTGGACCATCACACCACTCTTTGGAAACTGGAATCTCATGGGATGATATCCCAAAGTATACATAGCGAGCCAGGACTGGCTAGTCTCTTTGATCTGCCTCTTCTTGGCTTCACTTTTCCAACTTCCCTGACTCCTGGTGACAATGTGAGGATCAATGAAATGGGGAGTGGCCATTGGGACCAGCTCTGCCTCTCATGACAGTGTCCCACATGCTCGGGTCAACCACTGAGCATGGTCTTTCTTGGGCATTATAGGTTCACGGACTTCACAGGGGATCCAAGGTGTACCCTTCACGTCACTCACAATGCAGTCTCTTGGGACACCTGTTAAAACTCAGGGCCTGAGATCCATACCAGAAGTACTGATAACATTTCAAGACACACTGAGCCTGGCCTCTTGTTCTGCACTGGACACACTGCAGTGGCCATCTTGCAATCCCCTCACACATATCACTTCCTGCCCCTGAGGCCTGGGGGGTAGGGAAGGGCTTTGTCCCTTTGCTTGGAAGACTAGGCCCCACCCCTGTGAAGAGAAAGTGATTCTTTGCTTTTCTTGGAAACCGAGGGAAGAAAGTCTCTAAAGTCCCTAAAGAAATCTCTCCCTGCCTCCCCCCTGCTCCCTCACCTGTGGCACACCCCCTCTACCCTGTCACCTGTGCTTCTGCAGCAGGGCTTCCAAGAGGCTCTCCAGTGACATCTGCCTGTGGTCTGCCCACATGCTGTCCACCTGACGGCCAAGCCGTACCCTGGCTCCTGGTTCCTGGTTCCTCTCCCTGCGGGTTTGGAAAGGAGAAACAGTGAGGCAGTCATTGGCTAGGATGTCCAGTCAGGAACATAGACCTTTGCTATTCCAGTATCTGATGTGGATTCTTAGGACGCCCACCCATGTTCAGCAGCATCTGGGGAGCAGTAGGCATTGCAGTGAAGAATGCAGCACGCATATGTATACCACTGCAAAACCCTCCCCACAGATTGATAATCTTGTAGGCAGCACATTAAACAAGGGGTCAGATGTATCGCTCACCAGTAACAGGACAACCCATTGTGTGGCAGCTTCTGATACCATGGCTGAGAAGGCCACATGGATACTAAATATGAAGGTAGCTTGGATGGGTTCACTGTGAAGGGAAGTCTAGGGAGTAATGACATTTACTAGTCAAAGTTGTCAAAGTCAAGAAAATCAGGCATCTTCCAGGTTAAACTCAAAGATATGCGGAGGGCTGGAGAGATGGCTCAGCAGTTAAGAGCACTTCTTGTAGGGGACCCAGGCTTCATTCCCAGCATCCACCTCACAGCCCTCCATAACTCCAGATTCAGGGGATTTAATGCCCACTTTTGACCTCAGAGGGCACCTGGCATGCATGTGGTACACAGACATACATGAAAGCAAAACAATCCTATACATTAAAAAGAGAGAGAGAGAGAGAGAGAGAGAGAGAGAGAGAGAGAGAGGATGATGATGATGATGATGATGATGATGATGATGGCTAAATGGAGTCTGTGATCCTACACTGGACCTAAGGTCAGGGAAGACATTATTATAAGGAATCTGTTGGGACAACTGATGAAATTTGAATAAGTGTTGTGAGTGACAGCGGCACTGAGGACAGAGGGGGTGTTGCTTGTTAGCTGTTAAGAGATGCAAGTCCCGCAGGGTAAAAGGTCATGATAATTGTAGTCATGAGACTGCAATCCCAGCATTCAGGAGACAAAAAGAGGAGGCACAGAAGCAAGTCATCCTCAGATACATACTGATTTCAAGGCCGACCCTGGTATACAAGAGCTTGCATCAAAAGAAATCAATTTTAAAGTGGCTCAGATAAAATGAGAATTTTGTATTTATTTATTTTAATGTGTGTGGGTTTTGTTGTTATTGTTTGCCTACATTTATGCCTGGTGCCTGTGGAGGCCAGAAGAGGGTGTTGGATCCCCTGTGACTGGAGTTGAAGATGTGTATAAGTCTCCACATAGGTGCTGGGAATTGAACTCAGGTCCTGTGCAAAAGCAGCACTTGCTAACTCCATCCCTGTGACATTTTTGTACATTTGAAGGTTTTTCAAAACAAAACCTACAAAAGTCAGGCTGTTTGGATCTTCACTTAGCCACTCTTTGTTCATCCTTTGGAGATGGCACACAGGGTCTGTGCAACGGGGTAACGACAGGTGGTCTCAGAGACCTGAGAAGAGACTTATAGAGGTTGCCCTGGCACGGGAGTCCTCATGAACGCACATGTCCTCATGCCTAGTCTTTGTTTCTGGCCTGGAGTCCTGATCAAACAGGAACAATGACCATCAGCATTGTCACCACTGGAGCCAAGGACAGGGAGAGGCACACAGAAGGTGTAGAGGTAAATGGAGGCTTGACCTGCGCAAAATCCAGGAAGGATATATATTCTCAGTCTGTGGGTTGCAACCTCTTTGGGGGTCATATATCAGATACTTACATTACCACTCATAGCAATAGCAAAATAACAGTTATGAAGCAGCAACAAAGTAGTTTCATCGTTGGGGGTCACCACAACACGAGGAACTGTATTAAAGCGTCACAGCATTAGGAAAGTTGAGAACCACCAATATACACTGTGTCAGGACCAAATGAAGCTTGGTCCCCACCCCCTGCATCAGGCCTCCCTAGCTCTAATGCAGGGGAAGAACTACTAAAATATCTGCTTACCCCTGCTGCCTGCTCATGATGTCCTGGAGCAGTTTGCGGGCAGACAGCTGGCCCAGAACTTTCCTGTAGCTGTTGGTAAAGATGGCATCTGCATATCGACGCACCCTGTGCAAAAGGGTCAGAGGTCAGGATGGGCCTGGCGAGAGGACAGTGCAGGCCTCACCTCCCTCTGTTGTTCTCTGTCCCCCTCACTCCCTGAGAAACTCAGAGCCTGGTTGCATGATCTCTGGGGCTCCGTGCCCGGTGCCTGCCTGAGATGAACAGTGGGCATTGTGAAGAAATAGCGGTGGCTGCAGTCAGCATCTCTCTCTGCCCATGGTAGGGAGGTCTCGGGGGTGCAGGAATCCTGGCTGCTCACCTGAAGGGCAATGATGGGAACGGTGAACAGTGGGAGCCGCTGGTGAGGGTGAGGATCACAAAGAACACCCAGAGTGGCATCCTTCACCCCTGGGTGGGACCTGCAAAGAAGACCAGGAGGGCACAATCAGACATAGCCACAGTGTCCCCTGGGCACCACTCCATGACAAGTCCTGGTCCTCATCCTTTGGCTGGTGGGCTTTGAAAGTCAGACACACCTGTATTCAAGTTCAACACTGTCAGTCCTCAGCTCTGGCTTCCGGCTTCCCCATCTGGGATGAATGGGACAAAGCCACACTAGCTACTGCATGAGGCTGAGCAGGAAATCTGTTAACTTGGTGAAACCGCCTCTCTTGGAAAGGATGAGAGGAACACACACACACTCAGGAGAGACACAGGCAGAGAAAGCATTGCCCCTGGTTGACTTGCAGCAGGGAGCAGAGGACACCATGCTCTCAGATAAATCTGACCTCAACTCCTGGTTCTGCTCTCACTACCTGAGCTCCCCATTACAAGTGGCTCAACCTTTCTGAGCCTCAGTTTCCCCAGCCACAGAATGGAGATAATAACCACAATGATCAGGTCAGGTGAGAAGAAACACATAAGGAACGCTCTAGAAACTTTTGCTGTGGTCACCTAACACTTATTTCACTCGGAGGATAGATTCATGCTGTTTCATTTTGTGTGGAGTTGCAGTAAAGATGGAAGTGTCTTGTTCTGGAAGCTTACATTTTGGAGGTAGAGTATTCGAGACTTGCCTGGAATTCACTGTGTTGTCAGGCTGACTTCTAACTCATAATCCTCCTGCCTCAGCTTCACGAGAGCTGGAATTATAGACATGTGCCACCAAACCTGGCAGAATTGTTACATTACACAGAGCTCTGAAAGGGGAAAAGGGAGCATCTAGTGTGAGTATGCCAGAATCTTTTCACTGACTTCATAATGGCCCTTAATTGGGACCTGTTAACACCATGCTCTGCAGTTAGGGGAGAGCTGCCTTGGCTAAGAGGATGTTCCTTTTAGCTCTGGCCTGCCCTGGTATGGAGCCAGTCACTGGCCAGCTAGGAGCTGGGTCTTCTCAGCAGAACGACTGCCCTGGAGGATCTGACTGGTCCCTGAAAGGCACCATTCCCATGATTCCTCTCTCCCTAGTCCCATTGAGGGCTAGGTCCAGCACTGACCCAGTCCACTAGGTCACTTCTCTTCAGGCAACAGGCCCCTCTGCAGATTCTGGCCACCTCTGGTTAGGGTGCCTTCGGTCCCAGGAAGTATTAGTGGGAACTGTTCACTGTGGCTCCAGTTCCTGCACCCTACACCAGGCCTCTCAGGTATGTTTTCATATGACTTAGGCCTTGTTTCTTGGGCCAAGCATCTACGCTCCCTGTCTTCCTCATATATCACACCAGGGGATTCCTTTTCCAGCTGGGCTGGGCCTCTCCAGAAGTGGAACTTTCCAAACAGGGAACCCTTTGGACATAAGGAGGATCCCTTGATTGCAAGCCACGGCATTTCCTGCCTCTCCACGACACACTGGCTTTTCACCTTCTTCATGTCTTATCTCCAGACCCCTGCTCACTCTCGCCCTCTCTTTCTCTGTCTCCCTCCCCCCCTCCCTTGCACTCTCTCTTTCCCTCTCTCTCAAGTTAGGGTTTCTTTGTGTAGCCTTGGCTGCCCAGAACGTGCTCTGTAGACCAGGCTGGCTTCAAACTCACAGAAATCCGTTTGCCTCTTCCTCCTGAGAAATGGGATTAAAGTGTGTGATACTATGCCCACTGGCCCCTGGTCTCTTTACTCCCATGATCAGAAACACTTAGGCATGAAGTCCAGGCCCTATCCTTGTTCCGAGCTCTCCTCTGCCTCCTCCCCTCTTGCCTTGGTCCCTAGAGTTCAAAAAGAGATCCCAGCCCCTATCCTCACCCCACTGCCCCCACCTATGAGGGGAGGGCAGTCCTGCCTGTCTTCCTCACACCCACTTCAGGGCAGGCACTGTCATCCTCAGTTCATAGCCAACACCAGAGCCAAGGAGGAGGAAGGGATTTTTCACATGGTCCTCCATCAAAACAGCTTCAGAATGGGGCCCTACTTCCCAGGCCAGCAGATTCCCTCCTGCAGCAATTTCTCAGATACAATACCCTGTCCACAGTTCTCCCAATTCACCAGGCCTTGGGATTGGTCACCTGCACGTGGGAAAGGGTTCTGGAAAAAAAAAAAAAAAAGGAAAGCTTTTGCTCCTTGTCGTGGGGCCTCCCAGAAGTCAAAAGGGGAGCAAACAGGAACAATTGCTTGATTGGCACCTCTCTCTGCACACGCAGTGGTGTCAAGGAGCTGAAAGTAGACTCAGAGGGCAGGCTTCAGGGAAACGATTCTCGAAAGTCCAGCAACATCCCATTCATTCATAGTAAGGCTTGATCGTTGTGCAGCCTGTGTTAACATTTGCCTTTGCCCCAGACATAGATCCAGACTCCATAGCAACCCCAGCTGTGCAAAACCTATTGCACAGGGTTGCCCAAACCCAGTGGACAAAGACTGGAACAAGAAGAATCATTTGAGCTGGGCTGCGGTGGGGACACCTTTAATTGCAATACTCAGGAGGCAGAGGCAGAGGCAGAGGCAGGTGGATCTCTGTGAGTTTGAGGCCAGCCTGGTCTACAGAGCAAGTTCCAGGAAATCCAGGGCTACACAAAGAAACCCTATCTGGGGAAAAAAAAAAAAAAAGGAACAGAGACTGTGAAATAGAGGTCAACTATGTCTCATGAGACAAAGTGGTCCAAACCCAGCTGCCTCTGATGACACTTAAGATACTCTAGATCTTGGGCATAGTTAATTCTGGGATTGGACATAGATGAGGTCGTGGGCATTAGAAGAAAGGGGCATCAATCCTCATCAGATGACACCTTTTGCCAGCCTCCTGCCACAAGCACCATAAGAATTATACAGACACACATCTGTGGCAAATGACAGGTCAGGCCTCAAGTGTCCACATGAACAAGGGGCTGCAAAAACCTGGAGGGACTCTTCTACCTTCGCTAAATGTTCTCCTTTGCAACTGAGAACTGCAGAGTCTCAATTCTGAAGCCATCTGACCAAAAACACTTCAAGTGAAAGGAAGTGTGAAGCTGAGCATTTTTGTGGTGCCAGAGACAGAACCCAAGGCTTTGCACATTCTAGGCAAAGCTCTAACACTCACCACACCCCACACAAAATCTGAGTTTTCAATGAGGAAACATGTGCCAAAGAAGGATTTGAGACCACTTATGACGGAAAACAATAATGATGATAATGATAAGTACTTCAGGTCTATTTTCAAGCAAGAGGCAGGAGTCAGGCATGGGGTCATAGAAGCCTCCAAAACCCAATAATTGTGACTGAAAATTAGAGCAAGGAGCATGGCTGCAACTGAGGGAAAAAGCAAAATGTTATCCATTTTCAGGCAATTATACTGAGTTGGTTCTGAGTGATCGATGAGCCACATTGATCTCTACCGCAACTGGAGTGCTTTCGGATGCAGGCTAAGTCCTATCATTGACCGGAGAATCCAGCCAGCTCGTGTCTCAACTCAGGAGCCTGCCCCACACCCTGGAAGGGGTTCCCAAGACGCCTCTCACCAACTCCTGAAGCACTGCTGCCTGCCATTCTCCGTGTGTCCAAGTGCCTTTTATCACAGTCCCTACATGGCACCAGCCACCAAAAGCACGTTCCGGAGTCTCTACAAAGGAGTCACTGCACTCAGAGCAGGCACTACATGTCCTCACCATTCCATGGACACAGAGGCTCGCCATGGGCCATCTTACTTGGTTTCTGTTAGTTGGTGAGATGCTGGTTTCTCTTGCCCCCACCCAGCCCTCCCTCCAGGGCCACCCCCTCTCACCTCCAATGTGACAGGTGTCCCTCTCCGTCTGAGGCGCTGCTCAGGTCCCACTGACCTCAGGCATCTGTTCCAGCCACTGCCACGCTCTCACATTTATACCTTAATTTTCCTAAGTGTTGTCCGCGTCAGAGAGTCGATTACGCACAAGTCAACTAATGCACCATTTTTAGCACCACACAGACTATCTCTAATGGGGAAAAGTGGTTTTTGTGCCCCCACAAATTAAGGCCCATACCAAACTTTCCCTCTGTCCTTGAGGGGGTGAACAGAATCTAATGTTGAATGATTATTCTGAGAAAAATAGTGAATAATACTGAGATTCTAGTAATTATAATATTTACAACAATGTTCATTCTCCCACACACTGTCCCTGTTTTTAGTTCACATAATTCTGTTTTGTCCAGACATAACTTTATGTCACTTTGGAATAGACAGCATTACCAGCAAGTGTTGGTGGGTTTTTTGCTGGTTTTTTTTTTTTTTTTTTTTTTTTTTTTTTTTTTTTTTGGTTCACTGTCTCCCTTGTCATCCAATTATCAGAATTTCTGTGTTTGATTTATACCAGCTGCTGCCATCCACAAGCAAGTTTTGACAGCCGACCCCCAAAGCAACCTCTGTTGTGTGTCAAGACGGCAGCTGCCTCAGAGAAGTGTGAAGGGAGAAAAAAGAGATGAAGACCTTGGGAGAACTGTGATATTCTGAACTTGTCTGGCCTATAGCTAAGTATTCTTCAAGAATAGCATAAAAATGTCTGAGGCAGAAGCCCTGGCTTCCGGTGGGACTCTGTGGACTAGTTGAGAGAGAGAGCTCCACACAGAGGTTGGAGACCTGCCTCCTCTTCCATGCCTGTCAGTCACAACCTCTGTGACCTTTGTGAGTGCCTTCTACCCTCCAGGCCTCAGTGTCTACAACTGTGAACGACAGCTTTAAAACTTTTTTTGTTTATTTGTTTTTTTTCGAGACAGGGTTTCTCTGTGGCTTTGGAGGCTGTCCTGGAACTAGCGCTTGAAGACCAGGCTGGTCTCGAACTCCCAGAGATCTACCTGCCTCTGCCTCTGCCTCCCAAGTGTTGGGATTAAAGGCGTGCGCCACCAGCGCCCGGCTAGCTTTCAAACTTTTTATAAGTTTCTTTCTTTGGGAATCTATCTAACCATACATTATAAAATAGATTCTTTTTTTTTTTTTTTCAAAACAGGTTTCTCTGTGTAGCTTT